TCAAGGGGTGTTTGTCTTGAGTTTTCGGGCAGTCAGCCCCAGCTAGTTTCGAGACCCACCACGGCTTGGTTAGTGGCTAGGTACTATGAGGCGAGATGACGAGACCGTGCACCAAAGACAGGATGTTATAAAGGCGTCGTGCTCCAGAGTAGAGAGCTGAACAGATTTGGACCATACTCCGCAGCTGTTTTCAGCAAATGATTTTCTTCAAGACAGAATATGGCGATCGGTCAAGCTCCTAATGTTGAACACAAACTGAAGTCCTCAGATGACTACCATGACGCCGAGATTGACCACATCAGCGAGCTCGCATCACAGATCACCATCCACGATGACAGAACCACGAAGACAATCGACGCGTTGCGGAGACGAACGCGCTATGCTGATCTTTCGGATGTTGAGGAGGGGACACTGATTGTCTTCGATCGTTATTATAGGTTCAGAACAGCGACCTTGGCGATGCGACAGTCGGATTCGATATCGCATCACACGGAGGACGACAGCAAGAACAAAATTGTTCTCCAGGACTATTCATACGTTGGCAAATCTTGATGAGTTATTCTACTGACAAGAACAGGCACAACTTCGAGCTCCACACTTCGGCGTCTCGCCCATACATACTTTTCGGAACCGCCGGGACCCCAATCACGATAGATCTCCTCGAGGAACTACTCAGGTAACAGTTCCGTACCATTCTGCAAGAAATGTACGCTGAGCCTGATGGCTTCTAGGCTTCTTCGACCAGGCGCGTTCATCGACGTTCAATTTGCTATCCCGGATGGCTACACGGAGGACGAAGAAACTTCTGAAATCCTTGCGATGATACACATGATACAAAGCGTCGGACTGGAAAACGTCAATATAGTACACTTTCGCGGCTCAATTGAACCAGAGCTTGTACAGGAGATCGGCCAAGGAAAGATGGATGACTGGGATGGCATGCCCGGAGAAGGGCTAGCACCGATGCACGAATCACTTGAATATTTCTGTCTGTGGAAAGACGCCCCCAAAGCCAAAATGTACGTCAACTCTCATTAACTTGTAACAAAAAACTAATCAAGGTAGGTATGTCATCCGAGGTCACAAGCCGAGAGAACATCGCAGCAGGGCAAGAAGGATCGCGGAACGAGTTTCGAATCGAAAGACGAGACGGACTCGGCGGCTACGGCAATGTAACTGAGGCAACCAATCGACCGTTTGACTTCAGTATACCAGCTGGACTGTAGCAGCTTTCGCAGGGGGGAACATAGAATGCAACATGCACAAAGGACATCCGGGACACGTAAACCATATCTTGAGCATGAATGTATACATAGGTACCGAATATATCTTTGCGCTACTTCCTGCGGCCTCGGCAGGTGATGAGGAATTCAGTCAACGACTGAAGGTGCAAGAGACAACGTCCCCTTCAAGCTCTTTGCAGACCAGCTTCAAAGCCGGCACAGTCCGGCCTTGCCTCGTGATGATGCGATTGATTGAAGGCCTTCTTCGGCGCATTCGGGACAAGATTGGGCTGGCAGAGGACGTTCTGCGGACGCCATGGCGGAAGGCCTGGCCCACCCGCAACAGCGCCGAAGCCCAGACTAGGGGATTTCGAGCCGAGGCCCAATCGGGGCAGCCCTGCGGCGTGGGTTGAGAGCAGGCGTGGGCAGGCGGAGCGAGTGGCATTGGCCGAAGGGCGCTCGAGCCTCTCTGCAGAGCGATGGACATAAGGTGTGTGGGGCTTCGATCCCAGCTAGGAGGTGTGCGACTGGGAGTGCGCATGCTGAGATGGTGAGGTGTGGGCGACGACAAGGGTGTGGGGGTGAGCTGATCAAGGAAAGTCGGAGGGGAGTGGGAACGCCAAATCTTGCATCGTCCTTGCATCCTCCCCGGTGCCACGGCACAGACGACGTGGGGCGCTCATCTCACGTTTTAGCGTCCCCAGGACGGCCCGCTTTTGGCATGCACATGGAGACGTCAGTCCAACCAATCAGGGCTGCATCTCCCGACTTCATGTCTTGCGCAGCGACGGCCAGCGCAGAACCCGACAACATTCGTTTTGGCTGACCGTCGAGAGACTCGCGGATCAGGGGAAGGACCAATCGCGGACAAGCCGTGCAGTATCCGCTGGTTGCCGCCGGCATGGGAGGTCCGTTGGGCATCGGACCGTGGCTCCTTGCGAATGGAGGCATTGGCCCTGCAGTCGTGTCCATTTGAGGCAGCTG